TATCCTTCAGAAAATATGTACAATAACCTAGAAAAAAAATTTAAAAATCAATATAATTTGAGTTTCCCTCCAACGATTATTTTAATTTTTATCTTAAAATGATTATTAGACATCACTTAAATGATATCAAAAATAAACCAGAAAGGGTCATGACTTTTGGGTTGAATTTCATCCAAGCTCACCGTGGCTTATTATCTTTCAATTGTAAAAAATTTTCTTATTTTAAAAAATTTTTAATTTATGTTAGAAAGAAATTATTAAAATAATAGAAATGATTAAAACATATCAATAGAATTAAAGAAAAGAAATTAAGTTATTTATAAAAATAATTCATTATTATTAAAAAAATTTAATCTAAATTATTAACATAAAAAAAGTAAAAGATCAGAGTTTTTCTCTCACGCACATTTACTGAACTTTACGATTACTTAAAATTATGAACACTTCTTCTTAATATTATTAATTTTATATAATAAGGAAAGTAAAAAATTAAATGTAGAAACAGTTCACTATTTATTTTTGCATTGAAAATTTTATTTAAAATATAATTTAGAGTAGGGTGGGGCATTGCTATTCGCGTGGCGTAACTATTCTTTGTCCTGGAGAGAAAACTATTCATCCGATTAAAGTTTTTTTTACACTGTATATACTTGTCATGTGAAATGAACATTGTACGCCACATTTGAGCTTCTGGCGCCATCTATCATAGGAGTTAGGTACCCAAATGTGATTTTGATATACTCGCTTACTTGTTTTCACTCATTTAGTCTGCCATTGTAAATAGTGATAAACGGTCGGAAAAAATTATTTCTTAAGTCAAATTGAGTGCTAAACACGAATATTATAATGGATTTTTTATATTCTATATTCAGGAATAAAGTTTGAAAAGCCAATTATAGTTAAATTGAAATAAGTATTTTTTTTTAAATTGTAAAATAATATTTTAAGAAATAAAAATAATTATTCAATTCACTTACTTGTTTTGATGAAAAAGTATTGCGATGAATTTATTGAAAGCTGGATGAAAAATGGATCCCTCTCCTCGTTGGGTCCACACTCCTTCAACTCTTCAGTAGAAGTGGTCAACAAAGATTGTTATGAAGGCGCAATTTATTAGACGCAAAAGTGTGGAAGCGCTGTAGTGGGGAGAATGTAAGAGGGAGGGAGTGGTTACCTGGCGATGGCTGCGTACACGTATGCGCACCAAACTTGAAGTAAAGGAGAGGGAGGCTTTCTTTCTCTTTCACACTCATTGTCCCCACTCCAACGCTTACATTCTTTTTCCCACATGAATCATTTATGCCATCTTTAATTGTTTAATAATTAATTTATTTACATTTTTTCTTATAAAAAATCATTAAAAGTAAAATAACTTTTATTATTAATAAAAAATAAATTATAATCTTTTGCAAATTAAATAAAAAATATGAAATGTTAATAAATTATAATAATAAATAACTCATAATTATGAAAATTATGGATTAAAGTAATAATTTATAAAAATTCTGAATGAAAATCATTTACAATAATTATAAAATTATATTTCATTTTATAATTTATATAAATTGTACAGTAAAAAATAATCTATATATAAATTATAAAATCAATAATTTTATAATTATTTATTTATAATTTATTTATTTATATTGATATAAATATAGCTTATAATTTATAAATTTCAATTTTTAAATAACGATATTTAAATATTTTTAATTTTGAAAATAATATTTTTTCTTAGCAAAATTATTCATGATGTGAGAACGAATAACAAAATAAATTCAAACTGAGCCCATTGTTTTCAATCCAACTTCAATACACTTCCCTGTAAATGTAAACAAGACTCGTCTTTGTTTATTACCTGAAGTATTTTCCAAAATTGAATATGTTTTTTCCGTATTATTTTAATAAGTATTAATTATTATTAACTAAATTATAATGAACTATTACATATTAATTATTATATAAATAGTGATAATAAACTTATCAATTATTAACTATTGACTAAATTATTACAAACTATTAATTATTATCGAAAAAATTTCTTTTTTCAAAAAGTCAGGGAAGAAAATGAAAAATAATAATAGTAATTTATAAAACGTACTAATATAATATTTATTGTTTTTTTTTCTTTAATAAACATCGTAATAATATAATATCACCTCTGGCACAATCTCACGTTGGCAAGACGTCGCGACAATAAAAATTTTCATTTATTATTCATTTTTCTTTCCTTATCTTATTATTCGCTCTCTTTCTTTCTCTATCTATCTATCTCACACACTCTATGTTTCTCTATTTTCTCTCTCTCTCTCTTTTAAATTTATGATCCATAAAATCGATCAGCAAAACTATGCGACACTAATCGATCAAAACTACTGTAAATATATATATTTATATATATAATCTAAAAAAAGTTATTTTTAAGCTTACAAGGAAGGAAGATGGAGAACGATCTAACAGATTAAATCGATCGCTGTCTCCAACACACAAAAGTGATCAAAAAAATGATCCACATTTACATATTAACGCATTTGCAATCAAAAATAACGAGAAAATACATTTTTCTTTTCATTTTTATTTTTTTCTTTCTATAAACTAAAAATCGCAGACTCTTGGAGAAATAAAAACATTTTCTATTTTTTTTCGATCTTTCGAATATTGAGCTTTTTTACATACGCTCGATCTGTATTTATGATGATATATATATTTATTTATTTTTATAATGAATTAATAATTATTAATAATTAATAATTACATTTACATACCGGGTGTACAAAAAGTATCAAAACTATATTTTTTTATTATTTTTTTAAAAAAATTATAACGTACTTATTTCTATAATTTTTGAACACCCGGTATATAAAAACAGCTCCAAGATATTCTGCCCGCGAAAAATGATCAATGCAAGAGAAAAATTTTCCTCAAATTAAATTTTAATATACAATTTCCAATATACTGGGAATCCCAGCGTTGAAAAATAATTCTTTTATTCGTTGTTTGTTGTAATTACTGTTTTTTTAATAATAATTGAATTATAATTTTTTAAAAGTTTTCTTATTATTAATTTCTTTGTTTTCTTTCTTACAAATTTTTTTTAATACTTCCATACCCTGGGATTCCTAGTTATTTACTTTTTTTAATGAAAAACATTTTTTTTTAAATATACCAATAGAAAAAATAAATAAAAAATTTCTTTCTAATTTTCTCTATTAAGAAATTGACTAAATCGTTAAAATAAAATTAAGTCAACAACTATTTTTTCATTAAATCAAATTTAGTCAATTTTATTCGTTAAAACAATTTTTAATTTTAAACCATAAATCTTTTGTTTCATTAAAAAATAAATTTCGTCAAGAACTAATTACAAAATCACTTTTTTTCATACGAATCTAAATTCATTTCTAACGTTCAATGAATAAAAAATACAAAAAAATTTAGACTTCAACTTCAATATAAATAAAATAACGTTTGTAATATCTTCATTAAAAAAAATTCATTTACAAAACTTGAAAATTAATATCACTATTCAACAAACAGAAATAATTGCGCGATAATTAAAAAATTAAAAATTCAATCTCTAGCATCGACCAAACACATAATAATATTAATAATAATAATAATAATAAAAATAATAATAATAAAAATAATATTAAAAATAATTATAATAATCATAATAAATTCTTTGACTTCATTGCTCCTAGAGCAAGAAGTTACAAAAAAATGGCTTATTCAATAAAATGTCATGGACCAACACTAATAAGTAAATCTTTGCCAAATTTCTCTCCTTCTATTTTCATTCTCTAAATAAAAAAACACTCACACAGACATAAACAAGTGCTCTTTTTTAGCTCATATCTCTCTCCCTCGGTTTGTATTATTTATAAAAATAACAATTATACTTATGTAGCTCTCTAAGACAATAGAATCAATAATAATAATAAAATAATATCTATATGTTGTCTGACAATAGATGTAACAAAATATAGTATACTCAATAATAATAATATGCATTTTACAAGCGTATTTTGATCGTTGCTTTGATATCGGTACGACGTGTAAGAAATATAAACATTATATATATATATAATATGCTATTATTATTATTATTATTATTATAAAAATGTGTTTGATTCAATGTAATATAAAAGTCTATTCTAACCTAACGGAGCTATCTTGTTTCAACTAGTGCATTTTTTTCTTTTTTTTAAAGAAAAAAAAATATTGTTAGTTTGCAGTCATTTTGATTTACTTTTGTTAATTTTACGAAAAAATATTTTCGAAATTTTATTATTTATTGCTTAGAAATATTTTACTTTTGAATTTGGCGTCAATTTTAGTCTGTCGCCAATAACTATGTATCTTTTTAATGGCTTTTTTTAAAATCATTTTTTCCCTTTTTTTAAATACTTTTTTTGGGTTTTTATTTATTTTCATTTTTTTATTATTATTGTTTCATTTGATAATAATTGTATAATTTCTGTTTTATAAAAAAAGAAAAAGGTTTTTCTATTTTTTACCAGAATTCTATATTTGAATTTGGCGCCAAATTCGAAAGAAATATCCCTAGATAGACAACATTGGCAATCTTTCACAAATGTTGTATTGGCAACACTGGGAAAAGCCATCGATTGTCGGGGGATACCCAGCTTTACAAAAACTTTGAATAGAAATTTTAGTTTTTAAAAAGAATCCATAAAACTATAGTTTTAAAAACTGTTTTTCAAAGTATTTTTGAAAATAATATCAAATATTTAAAGATAGACATTATGCATTTCGAAAAAATAAAAAATGTTTAATACTGAAAGCGTGTTTTTTAAAATTTAATAACTAAATTTTTAAAAAATCTGTTAAATTAAAAAAAATTTATAATAATAACTTTAGAAATATAAATATCAAGTTTGTCAATTTCAATATAAATCTTCAATCTCCGAGACATAATTCAATTTTAAAAGTGCAAATTAATAAAAATTGCATTTTTGTTTTGTTAATCGATAAATTTTTCTTTGTGCTGGCAATAAAATTTTGATGCCGATTTAAAAAATTTATATTTTATTTTAGTCTTTATTTTTTTTTAATTTCATTATGATTTTATTTTTATTTTAATTGTGACGAGTACCTAAGAAAGGTACCTTAGAAGCAAATTATTTTAAGGTTATGTTATGTTACTTTTACCTTAATTAAAAGTTGTTTAATTTAAATATGAGTTTCATATTTAAAATCAGTTTTTATTTATTATTTTACATACAAAGACTTGAAAATCGGTAGTTTGTATTTAGAGTTGATCCCCTTTTTGTATTTTTACTTCAAAAATTAGAAACATAACCCAAAATTTTTGCTTCTCAGTTACCTTTCTTCAGAGGGCGTCACATTTATATTTTCATTTAAATTATATTTTTATTATTTTAATTTTATTTTATCAAGAAATTGAATATACTATTAAAAATTAAAAATATTTTCTTTTCGTAAAATTTCTAGACTAATAACGCTTAATGAGCACTTGACGAAACTTTGGGAAAGAATTATATATCTATCTCTATCTCGCCTGACCATTCACTTACGATTGTTACATTTTTTACTTCCCTTCTTCAGTACATAAAATTCAAAGCACTTCTTAACTTTAATTAAATTCTCTCTCTCTCTCTCTCTCTCTCTCTCTCTCTCTCTCTCTCTCTTACGCTTACAAAAGTCTTAAAATAGAAATGATTTAAAAACTAAAATTGAAAATTTGATACACATACGTCATACGTACTATCAAAAAAAATATATATAATATATAACGTCGACCTAAAATCAATTTTGATTGATTTAACTATACGATCTGAGCTATCAATCTAGTCTAATAATAAAAACTATCTTATCGAGAGCAATGATTGCTTGGCTTGATTTACATTATACTTTCTTTTTTTAAAATAAGGGTCCACTTGATTGTTTTCTTTTTTCAATATTTTTTTTCTGTCATATTCATGAGAAAAGAATTCACATTTCAAGTTCACCCAGACATCACCACCGTCTTTTTCTTTAGATTGACACTTCTTTTTTTGGATATCAATTTCAAATATTAAAAATTTAATTTTTCAAAATTTTAAAATTTCAATTTTAAACCCCAATTTGATCCTATTTTCAAGTTAACATTAACTGTCAGATAATCATAAAAGAAATAAAATAAAAAAAACCGTCTACATCTTGATTGAAAAGTATAGCCTATTTTTAAGCTTAAAGCTAAATTTTTTAAGATTCTAGACTGTCTAGATTCTTAGGACTTAAAATCATACTCTCAAGGCTGAAAGTCAGTCAAAAATGCTCATAATGCAGACGGTTTTTGTTTAAAAGTGAACTGAAGAAAAGATTTATTTTTTAAATTATTCAACGGGAACTTATCGCAAAATGAATTAAGTGAGGCTTAATTTTTAAAATATTAAATTTTAATATTTAAAACTTTCTTCTTTGACAATCAAAAATAATTAACAAAAAAATTTTCCCAACCAAAAGATAAGAAGACTCTTCGCATCACTATTCAATTGACGGTAAAAAAATGATTTTTCAACAATTTTTGGCGCCAATTTTTTTCTCCTGTCAACTTAAAAGAAAAATTTGGCACCATTTTTCCCTAATATAGTTATTTTTTTGTTTGCTTTATAATATAATGATCCCTCTGTTTGTATATGCATGTGTGCGTGTTTGCATGTATACAATGGCCCCGGGAGAGTGGAGATCTATTATTATTATTATTATTATTTTGTTTTTTTATATTTACAAAATTGCAATTATATTAAAAAAATTTTTTAATTTTCTCACGTATTACCTGCGTCGTGCATATGCGCATGCGCGTGTGAAGATGGCGTTATTGGCGATTGTGGAAGTGGAATTGGTGATGTATGAAGTTCAATGAGTGTAACGTCGTAACCATGATTTGGTGGATCACCCGTGTCTTGATCGTCAGGTGAACTTGGATTGTGATTTCTGTCCGTTACCGAATCCGATTTAATACGCGAATGACTAACCTGAAATAGGAAGAGGTCCTCGTCCACATAGTAGCGAATCATGTCGTCATCAATTTTCGCTGTAATTCTGAAACAAATAATTAAATTTTCAAATATAAATTAATGTTTCCACAAACAATGTATTTTAAGAATTTTAAAAATATACAATAAACTTATTTTTAAAACTGTTTTGCATAATAATAAATATAACCTATATTAATATCCCACTATATTCAAAAATCTAATGATATAATATATCGAAAAACATATCGATATATCAAAGTACTAATCGATTTATGGATATTTTGTATATCAAATTACAAATCGATATATCAAAATTAAAATCGATGTATCAAATTTGTAATTAATATATCAAAATCATAATCGAAATATCGAAATTAAAAACGATATATTTAAGTACTAATCGAAGTATCGGAAATGAAATCGATATATTTATGTACTAATCGTAATTAAGTCCGATTATTTTACGTACTTTACTATGCCAAAATTATAATCGATATCTTGACATATCAAAATTATGATCGATATATCGATATTATAATCGATATATTTAAACTCTAAGAGAAATATCGAAATCATAATCGGTATATCGAAATTATAATCGATATATTATTGAAGTACTCAGAGAAATATCGAAAATAAAATCGAAATTTCGAGGTACTAACGATATATCGAAAATGTTTAATGTATAAAAAATACCTAATAATGATGAAGTAATTTAAAAAGTTTCTTACAAGATGGATTTTCTATTAGAAAAGTAAAGTGAAAGTGAAAAAAATTGATGTCACAAAAAATATCGAAAAAAAGTTTAGTAATAGATAGATGAACAATAAAATTATATTTGAAAAGTCCTTCAAAATTATTTCTAAATAATTAAAAAATAAATTTTCAATTTTTGAAATAATATTTTTCGATATTTTATTACGATTTTAATGTCAACGTGAAGTACAAAATAAATGAAAAAACATTTTTTTTAATTATAAAAAGTTTGATTTCTTTTTTGTGATATGAAAATTTTAAAAAATTTCAATAACATGCAATTTAAACCATTTTTTAATTACTTTTTTCAAAAAATAGTATTTTTATAATTCAAAGAAATAAATTTTTTTTCTGAATGTCAATGAAGCCGCATCAAAGTATGAAAATCCACAAAACAAGAAGTCTGCAACAGAAAGAGACAAAAAACTGAAACTGAAATATTTTTTGTTTTTTTTATATCTAGACATAAGTGGAAATGACGCTTAATAAATACTCCACAATTTTTTTTATTTGCACAATATCGAAAGAAAATATTCTTTTTTTTCCTCATAATTCAACACCACTTTGTGCTCTGATTTCATAATTAAAAAGAAAAAAATCACTTAATTTTCTCCACAAAGAAGAGAGAAAATTGAATTTTTTTGTTGTAGATTCGAGTCAAAAGTACGTGCAGGTAATTTTTTTTTAATCTGTTATTGAATTTTATAATAAAAAGCAAAGCTCCTCATTGACATTAATATTGACAATATTGAATTTCTATTAAACCGACCATCAGGAAAATAGAAAGATGAGAGAAGAAAGAAAATGGAAAAGGAAAGAGAGAGAGAAAATGTGTTTTGTTTTTTATCATAAATTTGTGTTCTGTTAAAAAACATAACCTTAAAATGATAAGCGTGCAAAACAACGCAAGCATTAAGGCGAATCCACAATGAAATTCAAAATTAAAATAATTATTATACAAAGAACAAAATTAAGATTCAAATTGCAATTTATTTTTTAAAACTACTATATTATATATTAATTTATTGTTTATTAAAAAAATAATATTAGTTAATATTGAAAATATTACTTAATAGTAATTAATACTATTAATTAATATTAATAGTAGTATTAAGTATTTAATACTATGAATTAATATAAAATAACATTATTAATTAATTTATAATATTATTTATAAATATTACACAACTTAACAAGAAAATAATATTAACTGAAAAAATTGAATAACCACTAAATTAATTGACTTAATTCTTTACTTTTTGTTATTTAAAAGTAGTAAAATACGTAAAAAATACTTTTAAATATTTATAACTATTAACAAGTAAAATGAAAAAAAATGCAAGAAAGTCAGCAATATTTTTCAGTACTTAATACCCCGCATGCGCAAAAGCTGCGCGTGCAGATTAAAAAATTTAAACTAACAAATTTCATTGCAGAATAACCCTAAGAAAGATTAAGTTTAAAGCTTTCATGACTAAATGTTAAAGAAAGGATTTTTGGTTTTTTGTTTAGTAATTAATATGCAGGGAAAAAACAAAAAAAAAATTTTGGCACATGCGTTGCTTTCTCAAGGACGAGTACAGATTGTTTTAAATAACGGTATCGTCAGCAATTTGAGTCAAGCGCAATGTCACCGTTTTTATGTCATGCACTATAGTAGGCGTGCATGCAAGTAAAGATGACACTCTACTTAAACTTACCCCTTTGTGTTTTTGCGATAGAGGTTATTAATACTCGAGGATGCAATTTTGTACTTTGACTCAATCTGTAAAATAGAAAAAAGTAGAATATTAGAATTTTGAGACAACGATTTTGCCGTTTTTTTCTACTAGATAATAAACATTTTTTTTCTCTTCTCATTTCTCAACAAATAAACAAAAAAGAAAACCGTAAGAAGCGCTAATTTTTTTTTTTTAATTTTAAAGCCCAAATTTATAATCTGGAAAATTTACAACGGCACACGGTCATAGCCATTAGAATTGAGCATGCGTCACTGTTTTCAAGTGATTGGTTATCAGAGCGCAAGCGCAACTACGACCAATGACATGAGAACAATAACGCATGCGCAACTCGTTTCAATATTAAGTTACGTCTACAAGTCGTCTGTCTGTAAGTGTCATGAAGACCTAGTGCCGCCTAGGAATTTAAAAACAAAATTCCCGAAAATTAATCAAATCAAAGAAATTCAAAATTAAGAAATGCAAGAATTGAGAAAACAATGAAAAATAAGAGGCCAAATATTTTTTTCCACTTTTTTCTCCTAACGAGTTATTAATTGTGATTTAAAACCAAAAAAGCACTCTGTTCTGTACTTTCAAAATATTTATGTAATTTTGGGGTTAATTTTTTTTTTTTTAATTAAGGAACGTATAAATTGATTAAAAATATTAATAAAGGGTCTAAAAGGAATGATTTGGGCGCATGCGCATTTGAATTATTATTAATTAGCAAATGGAAAACGGCGTTTGAATATTAATAAATGGCATTTTGCAAATAAACATGCATGTTTTAATATAAATTCATGGTTAGATTTCAATAAATTTTTTTTCCTGATCCTGCCAACAATATTCCAATGAAAACATTTTATATAAGACAAATAAACAACACCATGAGGGGAAGATTTTTTTATATCTTCGCGTTTAATATATAAATACCGTTCGATATGTTTGTGTAAAATTATTTACTACCTTTTTTATATGGAAATCAGAGGAAGTGGAGTTTGATTAAGCCTTTTAAAAAAAATTAATATTAAAGCCTTACGACTTTTTTTTAATTAACAGTTTTAGATACAAGAAAAGCATCCTCTACATCCGAAATATATTGAAAAAATCAACATAAAAGAAGTTTTACACTTTAAAATATTTTACTTTAAACTGAATTTAAAATATATCCAATTTTTTTAAATATACGAATTAACATAGTGACATAACCTCAAAAGTCACAATGACTAATTAGTAGGTTAAAATTCCGTCCAATCAGAAAAATTGTTCTTGGGAAATTTTCGAACATTAATAATATTTCGGACGTTAGAGAGTGTTAGATTGGTTCTTCGTAACATGAGCTGCTGAAGAAGGCTTTATTTTATTTTGTCAAGTACTTACTGTGAAATAGTAAGGTGGCGAATTTTCAGCTCCAGCATATCTACAACTAACATCAGCAGTTCATGATACAGAGATTAAAATTTTTCATTTTCAAAACAGAACAGAAAAAAAACAATTTTTTCCATCATGTAAAAGACAAAGCCATACAGATTTTCTTGAATATAAAAAGAAAAGAGATCTAATATTATAAAAATTTCCAGTTAAAAAATAATTTTTTAAAAATAAAATCACTATGAATTTTGAAAATTTCAAAGAAAAAGTATATGGCTTTTTCTTCAACAAAGAAAATTTTCAGTTAGAAATAAAATTGTAAATTGAAATTTTTTTTGGAATGTAAATTTATAAAAATTGTCAGTTAGACTTTGATCAAACTCCACTTTGACATAAAAGTATATAACTTGTCTCTCCCTGTTAATTTAATAAAAATTAAAAAAAAAATATTTCTTACAGCATTTAGAAGTCCTTGAACTGTTGGCGGTGTGACGTGAAGTGGCGTGTAAACGTCGTCGGCCTCCTGGCGCACGTAAAGCATAACACGTTCCTCGGCATCGCTTGCTCGCAAATGTTGTTGAGAGAGGTGTAATCGATTGCCAACGGTTCCAGTAACAACGGCACCGCTCGGTATTCCCTGTGGTTGTACGCTCTGAAGAACGGAACCCTGAAGCTCCTGGACCTGCATCAGCAATGAGTCCTTCTTGTCGTGGAGGGAACTCAGATTGTCAGGTGGAAAGTGATTGTGAAATTTGAGGGCCGGCAGGCTCGGTCTACCCCCGCATGCAGGATAAGGACTACTGCCCCCTGCCTTTAATCCGCCGCCCTCGCCGTTACTCAGAGACGAGGTGTCCGTGTCACCCCCGTTACCCCCACCACCGCCTCCGTAGAATCCCGACAACTCCATTGTCGAAAACTGTCATCGGAAAAATAAAAGGGTATTGTCATTTTTTAGAAACTTGTGATATTCTGGGGTAAATTCAATATTCTCTCACATACCGTCCAGATAGAAATCAGTTTTTACTTTAAACTGTGGCAGTTAAATTACCTTATCGATGGCATGCTCCGCTGGTGGTGTGAACAACACTGGTGGTTTATGAAGATCCGCCATACAGTAGAACTCGCTCCTCTCCGTCACCGAATGATATAGTTCGTCCAATTTCTTTCTCCCCGTTGCCGTCATTTTCCTCTTTGCCGCCCGCCTTTCTTCATCCCGTGTTTTCCTCTCCGCTCCCTAAAATAAAAAGAAAACCATTTTTATTGCCTAAGAAACAGTTTTCTTTGAAAACATGAAAAGACAAAAGTCCCTAAATTCAAAAAAGAAAAATTTGTTGCCTTAGGCTGCGGTTACACCTCTGCAGGCAGTCTGCCTGCCTGCAGGTTGTCATGGTAACGTACAAGAGTAAGAGAGTCAGTGACTTCAAACTTCTCCTGCGCAGGCAGGCAGCCTGCAGAGGTGTAACCGCAGCCTAAAAAACAGTTTTCTTTGAAAACATGAAAAGACAAAAGTCCCTAAACTAAAAAGAACAACTTTTTGCCCAAGAAACAGTTTTCTTTGAAAACATGAAAAGACAAAAATCCCTAAATTCAAAAAAGAAAAATTTATTGCCTAAAAAACAGTTTTCTTTGAAAACATAAAAAGTCAAAAGTTCCTAAAAGAAAACCCTTTTTATTGCCTAAGAAACAGTTTTCTTTGAAAACATGAAAAGACAAAAGTCCCTAAATTAAAAAGACAAGGTTGCCACAGGTCAGGGAAGCCGGGAAAAGTCAGGGAAAGTAGAATTGGTGAGGGAAGTCGGGAAAAAATTAGGGATTTTTATTATAAAAATACTGGAAAAAATTAAATTTTTAGAATTCATGAGAAAATTCTGAATTTTTGTGTTTCTTTTGTTTGCCCCATAAACTATAAAATTACCAAGAAACCTTCAATTTTTTCTAATTCTGACAATAATTTATAATTAAATAACTTCATTCATAAATAGATGAACTTCAAAAGCTATTTAATTTGAAACTTTATAAAACTTCAATTTTAAATGAATTTAATTAGAAATTTTAAGAAACTTAGATTTTTGATAAATTGTAATATTTCAAATTCTTCTGAAATTAGTTAAATTTTTTAATATATATATATATATATATATATATATATATATATATATATATATATATATATATATATATATATATATAATTAATTATCAAAAATAATGGATTTATAGAAAAATTTTAGTTAAAATCACTTAAAATATTTGCATTTTGGAGAAGTTACAAATGATTGCAAAAATTAAAATATGTTTAAAAGTTTAAAAAAATTCTCATTAAAATTTCAATTATCTTTATAAATAATAAATTTCGTGTAAAATTCAATTGTAAACCAATGAATTGGAAAATTATTAAAAAACTTTTTTAAAAATTATTAAAAATAATTGATTTAAAGAAAAATTTTAGTTAAAAATTTTAAAAAATAATAATTGAATTGAAGTGATGAAAATAATTTTGAAGAAGTTACAGTGATAATATTCTTTTATTATTACTATTACTATTCTTTTATTATTTATTATTAATATTATTTTTAATAATATTCTTTTATATTATAAAATAATGATTTTCTCACTCGGTCTTAAAAATTTTTTAAATTTATTGAATTTTAAAAGGTTTAAATTTAAAATTTTTAAAAATCTTAATTCCTATGGAAAAATAATAACGATTAAATATTTATTTAAAAAAGAAGTTATTGATGTTTTTGAATCAAAATATTCTTTAGGGTCAGGGAAAAAGACAAAATTAAAATTTTGTAACAACCCTGAAAGAACAATTTTTTGCCTAAGAAACAGTATTTTTTTTGAAAACATGAAAAGACAAAACTGTAAATAAATAGAGTAGAGTCTGCTGTTTCTATTTTAGTATTAATTGTTATTAGAAAGACTATTTTTCTATACCTTATCACAGAAGACTTTAATTTGACAGTAGCCCCTGTGAGACGGTGGCGTGTACGAATGAGCATGTGGTGGTGGTTCTTCGTAAGTATCTATTTGAATATGTAGAGGAAGTCCCTTGACGCCCTTTTGACTCGAAAAGTCCGTGCTTAAACATTGAACCGCGACGTTGATCTACAAGGAAAAAAAATTGACAATTAAGTTTTGAAACAAATATAGAAATGGTGAAATAAGTTAACATACCTTAGCTGACGATTCCAAGGGATTCCAGTAAACTGCAATCGCGTTATGTGCAACTTCCTCGATACATCCAACAAGTCCCACACTGTTCTTCGTATCTACAAAAAATATTTCCTTAAATACCAAATTCTACTTAATTTGAGATTATTTTCTTACCTACCATCCGAATGGGAAAACATTCTTTCAAATCGCAGCTTGTGCAAAAAGGATCAATGTTTAGTCAAGTATTTTTTTGTTAATCCTCTGCTGATGCTAACTTATCGCCACAGAACTTAACTCTCATAGTTCCCACCAGTACAAAATGACGACTTCTGATGATAATGGTCATTAGCATCAACAGAGGGATAAATTACCTCAAAAACTAAATCTATTTTATATTTAACAAAAAAAACTCACCAGCGTCGAGAATCCGTTGCTTCGCAGAATGTTGTCTCGCGTGCCAAAATTGCCACGACTTAATTTCATCTTCAGGACTCTTCTCCTCCCGGAACATTAACATCACAACACTCTGTAAATAAACCACCAGACTGTTATCAATTTAATTTCTTTTTTATTAATTTCCAGATCTATTACGCAAGAGAAGTTCTTGCTACGATATAATTTAATCAACCTGTATAAATTACTATTTGTTTTGTTGTTATTTTGACCAGCAGGAAGTATTGAGACGTATCATACGCCATTAATTCAGCCCCTGATAAGGAACAATATACAACACATGTTGTCAACGTATGTTAATGATTTAGAACTAGTTCGAGAGAGTTGTATAACCGCGAGTTTCTAGGTGCTGTACTAGATCACATAAAAAGGAGCAAAATAATTTTACCCAACAAAAAAAGAAATAAGAAAAAAATAACCTCTTCCCTTAAAGAGATATCTACTTTTTCCGCTCTAAAGGAACATGCTTTTCATCTTGTACATACTCGATTACAACGTCGAAATGATCAAAATTAAAAAATAAAAATATATTTCTAATCTTTATGAACGGAAATTCGTGCGAAACAATCTATGGATAAAATGAGACCATGAGGAAATAATTCTTGAGAAGTTCTTTTTTTCTTATCTCATTTGTCAGCTGATAGGTTAACAAATGGCAAAACTTCTTCTGATATAAGAACAGGAACTGGTGTTACAGTTAGACTATATAAACTACACAACATGAAATAACTTTTTCAATATTATATATGACTTGAGAAGACCTGGTGAACTACCGAGATTGGTCACAAAAGCAAAAGCCGGCGGACATGTATTACTTATGTAACAGAAAAGTTATGTTAATGAGCGTCATAGACATGGCTTGTGAAGTGGATTCATAAAACGATCAAATTCGCCCTCAAGGGGAGGCACGCCTGATATTAATGGTCTCGACACTTGGAGAACTTTCTCAGGTCCCGGTGCGCGCAACGTGTCTTAGATACAATATCACATATCCCGCAACACGATATCAGCATCTCAATGCGCGAATGACTCTCGTGTGCGTGAGATAGGAGGCAATTTTTCGTGATTCGGGTGAATGGACGAATAGTTTATATTTATATATAGGAAAAGGCGACTGGGTACATATTATCTTTAAAATTATTTACTTATTGACATTGTACAAAACATCAATTTATTTACAATTAATTTTGTGCGTATGTGAAAAATGATATTTTTTGTGAATGCAATAATTGATTTGAAAAAATAAATACACAAATTATTAATGAAAATATTAAATAGACAAATGCATTTTTTTTAGTTCCGAAAAAACAGTTTCTTTGAAAACATGAAAAGACAAATTAATTTTATTTATGTTCGAAAAGACAAATTCAATTTATTTAGTTCAAAAATAAAAAAAAAAATTATTAAAACATCAAACAGAAAAATGCACTTTTTTTAGTTCCGAAAAAAATGTTTCTTTGAAAACATGAAAAGACAAATTAATTATATTTATGTTCGAACAGACAAATGCAATTTATTTAGTTCAAAAATAAAAATAATTATATTAAAACATAAAACAGAAAAATGCATTTGCTTAGTTTCGATAAAAACAGTTTCTTTGAAAACATGAAAAGACAAATTAATTTTATTTATGTTCGAAAAGATTATTATGAAAAAGTTTTCTAAAGTTATCTTTAATGCACCTACTTTCGGATAATATATAGAGTTGCTACAAAGTAGTTGCATTGCAGAAAAGAAATATTTTTTTAATTTCAATGCACCTACTTTCAGATAATATAGAGTTTCTACAATGTGGTAGCATTAGAGAAAAGAAAATTTTTCTGAAAAAGTGCAATTTTTTCGCGACGCTAGTAGTGTCCCCTTTAATGAACGTAGAGAACTTTATCTTTCACCGGACTCAAGTCTTGGCTTCCTACTCTTGTTAACAAAAATTGACAACAGATATTCCTAACAGCATACACAAGAGATAGTCGACTTGTTCGTTCGAGTTGTCTGCAAGCTCGTAAATAATCGGCATGTGGCCGAGGGTGGAGAGAAGAAGTTCGATTAGTAATTAAACGAGGAAGTCGTAACTCTCGAGGATCATTGAAAGCAAGAGAGAGAAAGAGAGGCAAAAAAATTACAACGCTATTTATAGGGTCGCCAATTGTTAACGGTATGAAGATATTCAGCCAATTAGACTGGCTAGAACAAACGACCTCGTTTCATCCGCGTGGTAAAAAGGGGATTTTTAATATTCCACTAATTTTAAAATTAATCTTCTTCTAATAAAAGTAATCTAGTTCTTATCAAAAAAAATATCCATATATTAAATTATAAAATTATATATACAATTGAGGGTCTGGAACGGATAACTGCCTGCTACGCATGGTTGAAAAGGACTATACCAGTCAGACAGCAGTGAGAGGCCAAGAGGCGCTCACTGTTGTCTGACTGGTATGGTCCCTTTCAACCATGCTTAGCAGGCAGTTATCCGTTCCACGCCCTCAATTTTTATCAAATTTTTAAAATATCATTTTTGGGCTCTTGAGGCAAATGCGAGTAATTTTAATTCACTTATAAAAGCGTAATAAGGTATAAGACGAGTGTATAAATAAATATTTAATAACCTTTTTTTATTATTGTGTACTTTGATCCCATTATGTAGGATCATTAAAATTACTTTAGTGATTAAAAAAATACTAAAGTATCCTTACCTTGACAGTCTGACCAGGTTTAAGTTGAGGTTTATCAGGATCCGGTACATAATCCAGCGTGATGCCGTAAAACTGTCCCTTATTGATGTAAGTTATTCTATCGTCCTCGCGTCGTTGCGATGTACTGATTGGCGACTCCAGGTGATACTTGAAACCGTAGGGTGCATAACTGCAAAAATGATTAATGATTGTCGCGTGGGAATGATCCGAATGGAATGTCATACGGGCTGGGCATTGTTACCCAATATTATTTCGTCACCTATATTCCAATCCTATTTTTCCAAACTACATTAACTCAGTATGTTCTATTTTTATATAATATATCCGTTTCAAAACAATTTTATATTGATTACAAATGGCAAATATTTGTTTTCAGGTGAAATAAAATGGTGATAACACGAGGAAGTTGGACGTAAGATAGTCTGCCAAAAAACAGTTAGGGGGATTTTTTTTTCTTTTGCTATCCAAAGAGGAAGTTGGTATCTACTTTTAACTTTCCTGTCTAGTTAGCGTATCGGTCAAACATAGTCACTTGGCTTCCTTTTTATTTTCCCAACCCAAACGATATACATATTAAAAGTCTCAGGTGGCACACTGGACGTAAGTAAAGTAATGCTTTCGTATTTCAATTTTTTTCAGCGGGACAAAACTTTGCAAGAGATAACCGAGTGCAACTACTGCGGGTGAACGTCCTGCTCTATAGAGTTTGCCGCCTACCTTGTGTGCCTTATTATAACTTACACCTATCACCGTAATACCAAGTTCCTATCTAGCGCGACATTTCAATTTTCACAATTTCGATCCGCTTAGGAGAATATTTCATTCGCTGTGGTCATTAAGAGACATTTATTTCTTATAAGTTCTTTATAAATTACTGAAGAAATGATATCGCTTTACTGGTCTAAGCTAAGAATGGTTTTCTTTAATAAAGTGTTTGGAAAGTCTATAAAATCTCTTATTATTAGCGGTAATCTCTTTAGTGAGAGAACCCTAACCCATAAGTGGTTTCTTAATAAAGTGTTTGGAAATTTTTTTTATAAAATCCCTCTTTTACTAATTGTAATTATTGACACGTGGGAGGACGTTAAAAAATTTAGAAATATTCCAGACTTACAGTTTTGCTATTTGTATTTTATCGGCGTCATTCTGTCGTCCAAAGTCGTGCCACGGCCTTGACCTTGGTGGATTTGGATTCGGATTGGGAGTTGTTGCACCACTGACGAGGGCACTTCTTGGAACTTGTGTTTGGGTGTGTCCTTGCTGCAATTGTAGTTGCAGTGGTTGATGGTGAATGACGGCTCCACTCTCGAGCACCACAGTCGTTGCGGTTGCACTGCCTCCAGGACATAGTTCCGTGTAATCAAACGACGACTGAAGAAGTAAGAAGCAAAATTATAAAAAATTTATAGAAAAAGTGAGTGCTTAATAAAGTGTTTGGAAAATTTTTTATCACTAACCTATTATTAATTATTATCGATATTATATTGTTATTGTTATTATATAACATAATTATAATGTATCGAACTCACAATATCTATATAATGTATCTAACTTATAATACCGTACAATGTATCCTATAGTACGTAGAGTATATTCTATAATTATATACATTATATAACAATATTATACTTAATCTATTATACAACAATATAATTATATTTCAATATAATACTACACAACAATATAATTATATTGTACAGTAATTTATTATATAAACAATAATTCATGAAAAAAGGGTTGTATATATACTTAGTTTTAAAAATTTACCGATTCGTCTGTGAATGTTAATTTAATAATTAATTCACTTGTGAATATTAATATTTATTGTGTGTGTCTTACATTGTCGAATATGAAGACATAAGTCGCGGTTTTTTACAGACAACCAATTATTATTGTTGTTATTAACGACTGTGAAGGTATATACATATATACTCGAGCACGGTTTGTAGATGTGGTTGATTTTACGAGACCGCAAAACTTCCATTATTCTTCTTCCTTCTTTTTTATTTTTTTGTTCCCCTCCCCTCACCCTTCACTTTCTTACCCCCTAACTCTTCGTACCACCCACTCAACCATTTTGCTTTCTGGCTCTTTAACCATCGACGATTCTCTTCTATTATATATATACATACATATATATTCGAGAAACTTTAAACACCGAAGGGTCGTAAAGTGTAAACTCTTATTCACTGGCACACATAAAGGAGAAAAAGAGAGAGAAAAACAGGCATTCAAATCAATTACTTACATTGTTTTAAATCAATGAATTATAAAGGCAAGAGAGAGAAAAAAAATACGCGACTTAAGTTTATATTTAAATTATTCCGATAATTTACATAATTGTAGATTTAAGTGAATATGCGGTATAAATATCAATATTTAGCAAACATTTTTTCTTACTCTGTTGTTAATTTAATTTAGATTTAATTAATTTTTTATTATACTGTTTTTTTGTTAGGAACGACATTTATTTTTGATATTTTCTTTATAATTTATAAAAATAAGTATTTGCTATTAACAAAAATATAAAAAAAATGTCTTTCACCTATATTGCAAGTTTTAATCATTTTAAATGAGCGCGCGGAAAATTTAAACCAATAAAAAAGCAGGAAATCGATGAGATATCGATATTAAAATACTTTTTTCGATTATAAGGGCAAAAAAAGGAAATCCCCGAAGTTCTTTACGTACCAACGATTTTAAGACACTACGGAAGTAAGTTGATTCAAATTAAAAAACAACATTTTTCGAAAAAGAAAAGTAAATTACTGATAAAAATCCAATTTTTCCAAGAAATTAACCTTTTCTATTTGTATTTCAATACATAATAATTTTTCTCCTTTTAAAAAAATCTATAATTCCATTAATAAATAAAACGTTCTATTGCTTTATTTTACGCATTTGTGAAAGTGAATATAATTCTAAAAGGCAAAATTATTACTCATTCGAAAATTGTAAATTTTTTTTCTTCTCTTTTTTTATTTCATTAAATTTGCAGCCACCGAGAGACAAATAAATACGTCAAAATTATTATTACTCGATTGGTGTTATCGGGAATTACTATGGGGAGGAAGGACGTTGGTATAAATATAATAATGTTGGGGCATATATATGTGTATATGGTAGTTACATGTATTTTCCCGTAAGACTATCGATCTCGATATCGTTGTTGAGATACCATGAGAGATAAGCCGAGACACGTTACTCAATGAGCAATCGAAAGAGAAAAAGGTAAAGCGCTATACGTGTGGATATACAAAGACTAATATCCAACAGATTATCATCTACAATATCATTCCACAGGGAACCTGAGTTTTGAACAAATTGCCTTCCGCTTTAAATGAGGAATTGTAAATCTCACATTTGTCCATCGTATATATATATATATATATACACAATCGGTTGAATATTAATTTTTATTATTGGACGAATTTTTTTCTTTGAATTTTATTTTTTGTTTGTTGTTTTGGTTTTTATATCTCGAAACAATAGGTTCAATTGACTTCGATTTATTTAGTTAAATAATAAAAATAATTATTAAAATAAAACAGAAAAATGCATTTTCTTAGTTTCGAAAAAAAGTGTTTCTTCGAATACATGAAAAGAAAAATTAATTTTATTTATGTTCGAAAAGACAAATGCAATTTATTTAGTTCAAAAATAAAAAAAAAATATTAAAACATCAAACAGAAAAATGCACTTTTTTTAGTTCCGAAAAAAGTGTTTCTTTGAAAACATGAAAAGAGAAATTAATTTTATTTATGTTTCTTTTGCAAATTTAATTTTAATAAATGTTATAGAAAATGAAAAGTATCTAAAATCGCTTATATTTCCACTTTAGAAAGAATGAAAATTGTTATATTCGCAAGGGGCGCATTTTAATCTCTTTGGATAATCAGGGTAGTGAATCGAAACGCTATAGATGGTTAGTTAATGATGCCACCGTCAGAGGTCTCTGGGGCTAGTCCAGAAAATGCTTCGATGGTAACCGTTACTTTACATATATTATAGTTTTTCTGTTTTGAGACTTGGAAAATCAGCTTACAGATACTTGGAATTTCGCACTTCAAGATTATGTAAGGTTGGTAAAAAAGAAGAAAAACGTTAATAGTTATTAAAATAAAAAATTGAAAGAAAGCGAAAAATACCTGATGAAGTGCCGTTGGCGGATGATGATCCTGCCTCGGGGTGACAGCGTCGGCACCAATCCCCGAATCAGGGCTGGGTAGATCGACAGTGAGGACTTTGCTGCTACTTGATGTGGTGCGAATTGCGTGTGTTGTCGCATATGAACTGGGCACAACTTCGTACCTCGTGTAGGATGCAGTCGTTGTAGGTAGTGACGAGGAACTCGACGAGGCCAATGGTGGCAATTGTTCACTCGTCACGTAAACTGTTGCCTCCTGATGAAGTCCCCCGGAATTTGCAGCATTTGCCGCTGCATTCGCCGAAGCCGACGTATAACCCGCCGATTGCAGTCGCGGACTGCACGACGAATAGGGATCGTAGGGACTTCCGTATTGCTGTACCTGAAAAAGGAAAATTAAGAATTAAAACTTCAAGATTTATATTCCAAATTTTTCATGTAACCTCAAAAATAAAAATCAAATTTTCAAAAATCATCGAGAGTTGCAAGTTAACTCACTACCCTATAGACTATCACTCAGTTCATTTTCAGCTCGTTTTAAATTTTTTCAAAGTTACATTTGATTAAATACGCCAGAGTAAATTTAACATTAATGCAAATATCACGATATGTTAACAAACATTTCAAACTCTTTGATTAATTGAAAAACGATTACACAACTAAAATATCAATTTGCCATAGAACAGGAATTGCGACATTTCACCTTCTCTATTAGCCGAACTAAATAATTTACCAATATAATTATAATCAATAAGGAAGTTAATATAATTAAAATTAACGATAATTCGAATAAAAGTACTACTTAATAGTAAGAAAAAATTAATAATCATTTTATTGAAAAATATTAAAAGAATTATGAAAATGCATACTCCATACAATTGCAATATACATTAAGTTTTCTTAATATTAAAATCCATAATTAGCGTCGTCGTCAAGTAAATAAAGGAAAGTAATCTCTGTCCAATTAGCCCGCTGCGTCATGCAGAAGCTAACAGAAATTAATTTCCCTAATTAGTTTCTCCAACGGTTTATAATAATATTGCAAGAAAAAAAACCGCTATATGAGGACCTTTTAACCCCCCCAACTTCTTGAGATGGAACTTAATTCTTGTCTCCTTAATTTCCTTTTTATAATAATATTCTTTTTCAAGATATAATGCTAGGTAATGTAAAACCGGTATAAATGTATATGTGGAGAAAGAGAGGGACTTACCTGTAGCTGGTGCTGATGATGATGGTACATTCCCGGCGGCGTTGGACTGTCAGGTTGCGATTGTTTGTGACGTTTACTAGATTGTTGACCACCTCGTGATGAACTGAGATCCTCGGGTTCACGTTTAACCCCCTGTATACCGGCACTTGACGAACCATCGTGACGTAACGATTGCGGACTAAGGGGAAGAGAGAGACCACCCTGCAGACTTTGCCCTGGACTGTGCGATTGTTGATTATACTGATGAAATAAGTGATGAAGCTCCCCTCCACCTGTGCCTTCGGACGTTTCCATTCGATTTGTTGAGCCGGCACCAGGAGCCTCTTGCACCAAAAGTTTTGGTCCCATCACACCCCTTTAACATAAAAGTAAACAAAAAATAAATGCTAAGTCAAAAGGATTTTAATGAAGATAAATCGTAAACATATATAAAAGTCTTAAATGACTTTTGGTTGCGCCGACTGTCTGACGTTATGCGCGACTATCTGGAAAAGTTTTGGCGCCAAATTCAAAATTCTTCAGTAAATGAAAAGAAGGAAACGATAAAAATCTAAATTAAATATTTTAGTTCAAAATCAACAAAACGAAATAATAACCATCAACATGTTCTCACTTGGACAACAATTACTATAATATAACGAAACCTGTTATTACTTAAGTAGCATCATAAATGCCTTGTCGCAATGTCTCATACTAGATTTATCTCTTTCGACCATGATAAAATCACAAAACCAGAAACAGTTTCCAGTTTATGGTTTAGTTCCTCATATATTCCAGTTACATCTTGTTCTATAGCGTTTTACAACTCTCTTATCAAATTTTATTCGTAATTTTCATGAGATTATATGCAAAAATTAACACGAGATTATAAAAAAAAAATTTCACGAGATTATACGAGAAAATTTATTTTTAAATATTTACGTTTAAAAAAGTATGCTTATCGTGATGTACTGTGCTGACATTTCTCGCACTCATTACTTCGTTTACTTACAGTTAGATGCAATCTAGTGGCGAAATGTATGCTAATTGTAAGTCAAATTGTTTATAATAAGAATAAATCATAAATATTTTGGTAAGAACCGAAGTGTTTATAATAAAGATAAATCGTAAATATTTTGTTAAGAATGAAATCCAACGTTTCAGTGATTAATCCAACCTGAGACAAATTTTAATTTTACAAAATTTGGAATACTGTCCTATGAGGAAGAAAACGTTGTGGTTAGTGAAATACCACTTGGGTTGAAACACAAAAATGAACCGAATGTACAATGTCAAAAGTTTTTTCATTGTAGGTCTTTATAAATAATCATATACATTTAGATTTATATTACTTTTTATTATAACACTAGAAAAACAAAGTTTAAATTTTAACCTGATTTTGGGGTAAATATTCGCTGCAACAAATTTTCACCTAAGTGAGGGCGCCACTTTCTATGTGAATTAACATTGGTTAAAATTCCCCGCAACAAAATTTATACTATCTTTTTTTCTGTGAATTATAAGATTTGACGAAAATTAATGATTACCCTGAACGTTGGATTACTTAGCTCGTTGGTCGATGAAGAACCTAACTATATAATTGCACGTCATATTGTGAACTGTAGGACACATGAACATCGACATTTCCGACATTTTCCGTAAGAGTTTCCATGATTTATAAAAATTTTTAAACATTGCAATCCTAGGGCAGAATATAATTCAGATAAATTTTTAATAGGCGAAGCTGGGAAATTAATTTTTTCTATTCAGCGTTCAATCTTCGATGGATCAAGTACGAATGGGAATGGGGGGAGAAAAAATTGAATACTTAAAATGAGATGAAGTGAGAAGACAGAAGGAACGATGCGCGCATTATGTGAAGTAGTTAACATGTTATATTTAGCATGATAATACATATCTACAATGCTGGGACCCTTATAAACTGCCAACGCTTTCAGTATGTATATATGTGCTCTTTTCCTTTTTCCAGTTGATCCTCTCTTTCTGTCTCTTTTTCTCTCTTACCCCTTTTTCCTTCCTCCCTCTCTGTCTTTTTCTTTTCCATCTTCATTGTCTCTTTCTCACTCCTTCACATATCAACTCTCAAAAGAGAATCCCAGGTCTCGGCACTAGCTTCAAGCATACCTACGGTCAGATGCTTTCATACAATGGATTTTTTTTCACTTGATACCTGATCTCTTTCGTCTTGTCCCTGTCTATACGCAAGCATACCGCGTGCGCGCATATATTCTCTTTGCTTCTTATATATATATATATATATGAATATATATACATAAAAAAAGTAGGGAGAAAAAAAGCGGACGCGCTTCTTGGAGGACCGTCATAACCTGAAGCTATAAGATCCCTAACATGCAGTATAGAACCCCATGAATTTGGCTTAAATGAAATTGATCCATACGCGTTCGTGTGTGCACAGTGTCAATGAGAGTGAGTAAAGTGTACACACTATAACTACATACATGTATATAATGCGATGCTAATCCGCGCGCGATTTTTAAAATTATTTTGCGTGCGAATTTCCATCTATGCAAAGGTACACGTCTACTATTATTCTAGAGCCTACAATATTTATACTGCTAAACAGCTTGTTCGGCATTCATGCTCTTTTTACGTCAGATTCATCTCAAGATGGGCATTAATATTAATATTTTCTACTCCATGAAAGTATGCGTACAAATTTTATTCTTGTATCAAATATTTTCTGTTATTTATTTTTACTGACACACACTATCACTAAATCCCCCCAGTAACAACTTCCAAGTGAGACTAAGGATCTAACAAAAAAATTTGTCAAACTTTTTGAATTTTGAAAATCTGACTTTAAATTCTTGTTCAACGACTTCAAAAGCCTACCGAGTAATAATAAGTTTCAAGCAAAATTAGTCCGTCATCTTGAATTTTTAAAATTGACCTCAAATTCATGTTAAGCGACCTCTAAAACTTTCGAGTAACAAGTCTCAAGCTGATTCGATCACATTTTAAAAGTTGGTCCGCCATACTGGATCCGCCATCTTGAAATTTCAAAAACTGACCCCAAGTTCTTGTTCAGCAACCCCTAAAATCCCCGACTAAGATATGTTTCAAGCTAATTCGATGAATTTTAAAAATTTGTCTGCCATTTTGTATTTTTAAAAATTAACCCCAAATTTTTGTTCAGCGACTCCGAAAACCCCCGAATAACAATAAGTTTCAAGCTAATTCGATCAGCTTTTAAAAATTTGTCCGCCATCTTAAATTTTAAAAACTGATACTTTTTGTTCAGCGAACCCAAAAACTCCCGAGTAACAAAAATCAAGCTAATTCTATCACTTTTTAAAAGTTGGTCAGCCATAGTGAATCCGACATTTTGTATTTTTAAAAATTGACCCCAAATTCTTGTTCAGCGACCCCTAAAATCCCCGAATAAGAAGTTTCAAGTTAATTCGATCAGTTTTTAAAAATTAGTCAGCCATACTGAATCCGCCATCTTGGATTTTTAAAAACTGACTCCAAATAGCTATTTAGAGTTGGTTTTTTAAAATTATTTATTAGTTACAGTTTTTCTGAGACCACCTCCACTAAATCGTCATTATATTATAATAATGAAAATTACAAAAATATATCGCTGTCGCCGCTGTTTCAAGATTCCATCCCCCCTCCTCAAAGGTCAAAGGGCAAACATAACCTCAAAACCCCCTTCCCACTTACAGGTCACATGGCAAACATAACCTCAAAACCCCCTTTTTTTTTCTTTTTTTTACATTTATATTAATTATTAATGAATTATAATTATTATATTTAACAATAATAATAAAATTCATAATTTCAACATAGAATTTTATTACTAACCAATTTAACATATCATGTAAACTTAAAATTTTGTAAATAAATATAAAATTCTAACGCCATATATATTACAAAAAGATATCGCCGCCGCCGCTGTTTCAAGATTCTGTAAGAAACGCCCTATCCCAAAGGGGCCGTCAAAACTTATGTCAAAATTGACCTATTTTTTGACCTATAGGTTTAAAAGTGGTCTCCATGTGGGCCCTTACATTACGTCAAAATCCATGTTTAATTTTACCTATTTTTTGAGCTACAGGTTTTAATGGTGCTTTAATGTGGGCCATTACATTACGTCAAAATTTGACCTGTGTTTTACCTACAGGTCAGAGCTTGCCCCCTTAAATAGGAGCGCCAAATAGGACGTCAAAACCTATGCCAAAGACAAATTTTTTCCTTGAAGGCTGTTAGTTACTACAAAATTGATGACAAAGATGGTAAAATGCGATCTTATGACATTAGCCAATCTGAAATTTTAAATTATTATATGTAATAAAAATGATTAGAAATCTTTTTAAATTTGGTTTTTAGCCAAATTCTGTAAAAGTCAAGTATCTTATGTGTTTGAAATTTAATTAAAAATTTATTTTAAAATTCGAAAATTGTAAGTGCATACACATAAATACATTTATTTATTTTAAAATTTATTTTAAAATTCAGTTTTAATGAATTTGTTTCCAAGATGCACCACGAGGAGGTACACTAAACTTTAAAATTAGTTAAAATTTATTACAAACCAAATTTAAAAAGATGTGAAATAATCTTTACTATATATGATAATTAAGAATTTCAGATTTGCCAAAATCATAAAATCGCATTTTACCATCTTTATATAGGGGGTTGGCGCGCGAAGCGCGCAGGGGGGCGAAGCCCCCTTAGTATATATATATATATATATATATATATATATATATATATATATATATATATATATATGTGTATATATGTATGTGTGTATATATATATATATATATGTGATTTCAAAAAATTATCACATTCATGTCTTCTGAAAATTTTCGTTTACACAACATTCTTTTGTCCTGGAACAATGTAAGACTGTGTGCGGTTTTGTAGGGTCGTAAAAGGCATAAAAAATTGCGAAAAGAAAAAGAAAAAATGTTAACGACGTGCGAGAAGAGGTTATCGCACGTAGAGTCATATAGCCCACATAACCGGTGGTACTTATATATATATATATATATATATATATATATATATATATAAGTAGTTGCAGTTAACTAATTCTTATAGTCGCTAGTCAAGTTAAAGGCCATGAATATAGGCTCACTTACGTGTACACATTTATATATATATATATATATATATATATATATATATATATATATATATATATATATGTATATATATACTCAACGTGTCGTATATATCGACGACGACACGACAAGTGTACACCTGGTATACCAGTCAAGAGTTGTGGAGGTAGGGTCAAGACGCGAGGTCAGACCGCATACGGGCAACCTGTACTTTAAAGAAACTTGCACGGGCATGACGCGACCTGCCACCGGGAACCGG